CAATGAATCGTCGATCCCCCCGAAAATATGGGAAACTATGGGAAATGGGGGGGAAGACGAACATCCAGAAAACATAGAAAAACATGGGAATCCTTATTTTATTTGTGTGTATGTATGTGTGTGTGTCCTTGGGCCCCTTCAAGATGGTGTCTTCGTCTCAGCGCCGTGCGCATACGTGGTAAACCTTTTACGCTAGCCAAGAGCTTCACGGATGGGAATCGACTCTTGTTGCAGCTCGCCTTCGCCTCTGGAGCAGCACGTTTCAAGGTCTCGTGAGCAGCTCCAAGAGCTGAGCGCTTATGTCGTTTTCGAGATGTGGCTCTCCTCCCGGCGCTGCGCGCATTCGCTACTTCATGGAACTGCAGACTTCGGGGGTGCGTGCATGAGGAGAAGGATCTCGAGGAGGTGGAGGAGAGGGAGGAGGAGGAGGAGGAGGAGGAGGAGCAAGAGGAGGAGGAGGAGGAGGGGGAGGGGGAGGGGGAGGGGAGGAGGAGGAGGAGGAGGAGGAGGGGGAGGGGGAGGGAGAGGAGGAGGAGGAGGAGGCGGAGGAGGAGGAGGTAGAGGAGGAGGAGGAGGACGTCTCGTTTCTTGGGGGCTACTACTTGAGCGCTTGCTGATCTCGCTGGCCCGACGCTCCAACGCGTGCAGCGCTGCACGGCTCCAGGGCGGCGGCTTCCACACAGAGGAGCCATCGCTGCGGACCTCCTCGGAACTCGTGACCACAGGTGCCGTCGGACTGCGTGCAGCAGTTGCACGGCTGGGGGGCGGTCTTGCTCCAGAAGGGCCTGGCATCGCTCGGACGTGTGTATTTTTTCTCGGCGAGGACCCTTGAGGAGCATCCTTGATCATCTGGCGAAAAAAGCACGCACGAAACCGAAAAAAACACAGGGAATGGACGCCCGAGCGATGGCCAGAAGGGGGCATCGGTGCACACCTGGTCGAGCGTCATGCTGGTAGGTGTGTTCGTGCTCTCGACGGCGCGCCGGAGCGATGCACGGCACTTCCCTTGCAAGCGGGGGCCGTCCCCGACTGCGTTGGCATTGCAATGGGGGCGCCGCTTGCAGTGGAAAGTAACCCTTGTGGGCGCGTTATGGGGGGAGACTTGGGACGGGAGAGTGTACCCCAGAGATCCGACGTCGTGATTTTTTCAATGCGGAATCCCCGGAAGTCTCGACCCATTCCCCAGGACCGGTGCTTCATCCCGAGTCGTTTTTTGACGGTCCCGGGGTCCGGCGAGGGCCCCTCGAGGCCGAAAAATGTGCAAAGCCTCCGTCTCGATTATTTCATTACGTCGGATCTCTGGGACTGCAGCATCGCCGCTACGCCTTGACTCCGCCTCGTCCAGTCTGGCCGGCGCGCCCCCTCGTAAGGTCGTGAGTCCGCCCCTGGGCGGGCTTCCCGAGCCATGGGGCCTCCCCCCTTCCGCCCCTCCTTCTCGCTCCTCCTCCTCCTCCTCCTCCTCCTCCTCCTCCTCCTCCTCCTCCTCCTCCTCCTCCTCCTCCTCCTCCTCCTCCTCCCCTCCTCCTCCTCCTCCTCCCCCCTTCTCCTCCTCCTCCTCCTCCTCCTCCTCCTCCTCCTCCTCCTCCTCCTCCTCCCCCCCTCCTCCTCCTCCTCCTCCTCCTTCCTCCTCCTCCTCCTCCTCCTCCTCCTCCCCTCCATCCTCCTAACTCCTCCCCCTCCTCCTCCTCCTCCTCCTCCTCCTCCTCCTCCTCCTCCTCCTCCTCCTCCTCCTCCTCCTCCCTCCTCCTCCTCCCCCTCCCCCTCCTCCTCCTCCTCCTCCTCGCCCTCCTCCTCGCCCTCCCCGGGCAGGGACGCGCAGGCTGCAGCGGCGGCACTCACCACGCCCGGTGCCCCACACCAGTTGGACCTCTCGGAGTAGAGTTGTGGAGGTCGATGAGTGGAGAGGGAGCTTGCTGCCAAGTAATTTCCAAATGTTTTAAAAAGTGTCAAATATGTTTTCTTCATCTGTTAAAAACAGGTTTGAAACATGTTTAGAACAAGTTTTACATGTTTTTAAACACATGACTCTTCGGGCGTCCATTGTCGTGGCACCCACAAGAGTAGGGGCGCCCGCTGGACGAAGGAGAAGAGAGTGCCGCAAGTCGGCGAAACGCCTCCACACTGGTCCTGGCATCGCTCGGACGTGTGCATTTTTCCTTCGGCGAGGACCATCGAGGAGCATCCTTGATCATTTCGCGAAAGAACCACGCACGAAACCGAAAAAAACACAGGGAATGGACGTCCGAGCGATGGCGAGGAGGGCGCTCAAGAAGCAGCCGGGCGCCAGCGGCGCGGTGCTGCTTGCCTCCAGGGTGCCCTGGGTTTCTTGGGTGTCGGTGGCTTTGCCGTGGGAAGCGTGACCTTCCCACACCAAAAGTCAGTGGACGTCCTGGGGTCTCAGGGTGGGGTCTCTGATGGCAGGCTTCTTGTGGTCGGGCCCCTCTACCCGCCGCGGGCCGAACTAGGAAAAAACGAGATGTCAGGATGGCTCGTGGGGAGGCACTGAGTATTTCCGAGGGCTCCCGTCGCTCCTGCCTCCGAGCAGGCTCCCGGCGAGAGCGCGTACTGATGCTTATACCCCACGGGATGCCCGCCCCTGGTGCCTCCGACAAGGCCGGCCCTTCCCGACGCAGAGGGCGCTCCAGGGAGGGCCTCGCCCTCAGCGCACCCTCGCCTTCGGCGGAAGCCGGCGGGAGCAGGATGGCGACGGGGCCCGCTGGCGGAAGCTCTAAAACGACACGAAGATCGGGGCAAAATCGGATCGGGATAACTCGAAATCTCTGAGAATCGGCGGGTTTGGAGGATGTATTGGGCGCCGCGGCCGCTCCAGAGCGTTCCGGAACGCTCTGAGAGCGCTCCAGAAGGCTCTGGAGCGATTTATCCCGATGCTAGCACTGTTTTTTCAGATCCGCGAAGCAAAAGCGAGACGTCAACAGGTTTGGATCGAAGGCTTGTGGGTGCCGCCCCCCTGGCGGCCCCGTAAAAGCCGACGCTCCAACAGAAGATGGGAGCGGCGGGTTCCTGGCGGTGCTCCGCTTCCGGGGGCCCTCGCCGGGCCTCGGGACCGTCAGGAAACGATGCAGGACGAAAAACCGGCCCCAGGGAAGGGGTCCAGACTTCCGGGGCCCACGCATCCAAAAGATTGGAGCAGCCGGACGTCTGGGGTCAGGAGCAGACCAGGCGGTTGGTCGCCTTGTGGGAAGGCTTGCCCCCATCTCACTTCCCGCTGGCGCTCGCCGCCGAGTCTTGTCGATGCCCGCGATCGTCCGTTGACTCAGGAGGGAAAAATCACGCAGACACAATTGATCGTCGATTCCCCCAAGAATATAAGAAAATATGGGAAGTGGGGGGGAAGACAGAAACCCAGAAAATATGGGAACATATGGGGAATCCTGTTATTCGCGTGTCCACTTGTTGGTGTGTTTGTGGGCCCCCTCAGGCTACGGTCTCGGGGGGCCTGCCTCGGGCCCCCGGGCGGCGGTAGATCTGGAGCGAGAAGGGGGTCCCACGGGAGAGGTCGAGATGTTGGGGGCCCGCGTCGGGAAGCAATCGCGTCGTCAGGGGTCGAGGAGTTGCCCGCCATTCGTGTCTGGCCTGCGCGTCTTGGCCCGCGGTGTGTGCTCTGGAGAGCCCCGCGTTATGGTCATCGGGGACGTCTCTCGTCGCGTTCACCCTCTGGTCTTCGTTGCCACGGTTGGACGCGGTTCTAGCGTGGCAGGAGGCTTTCTGCAGAGACGGCCCGACGTCAGCTCCAAAGCGCCCAAGGGTGATGCAGACCATTTCTGACCTCCAGGTTTCTACCACCCTCCATCTCTGCGCGACATGCTGCGGAAAGCGCGAGCCCATGCAGGCCCTACTGGACCACCGTGCAGGCACGAACTGCCGCAGCAACCCCGCAAATGTTATGCCGCTCATCTGTTGCGCAGTGACCTCTGGAGCTGACAGGGCGCTGGAGGTGCTGCTCGAGCGGGGCGCAGACCTGGAGCTGTTGCCTCTGTTTGGTGCCACCGCCCTCGATAACGCAGCAACATACGGCAACGAGAAGATGGTGCGGAGGCTGATTCGGGCTCGCGCTTCGGCAACGGGTGGCGACAGCGGCCTCAGTCCTCACCATTGCGCGGCGCTGTTCTCCGGCAGCGCCGACATCGCACGGCATCCGGTCAAGGCCGCGTGTTGCTTGGAAGCCCGTTTCCAACCGAGCCCTTGAACTCTCATTGGGATGGCATTCGTCGAAGGTAACATCGGGTACCACACTGGACGGATCACTTCGTTGGCCCTGGTCTCGCAGCACCTGTATGGGGGGCCGCACCTCTGATGCCAGCTGCACTGGGAAACGACGTGGAAGCCGCGCGAGTGTTGCTGCAAGCAGGGGCCGACGCTGTGGCGATGAATGACCACTGCATGGGGCCATCGTCGTTGGCAGCTTCAGTTGGATGTCATCCGTGTTTCACGGAGAAGCTTTGGGAGAACACAGGAGTTTCCGACTGCTCGAAAAGTCTTGGGGATCCCAAGACACGCCGGTGGACCGTAAGAAGGGAGTTGACTCTCTTGTGAGGTGAGTTTGTGGCGAACTCCAGAATCATTACCTTCGTACGCGGAGGGTCGTTGAGTCGTCATCGTCGGATTGTGGAAGCACGCGGCAGCCCTGTCATTCGGCGCAGCTGTGTTTCAAAGCGCACAAACACGTACAGTATAACAATATCATAAAGACAATTGCCAACCAGGTTCAAATATCTCCCCTCCCATTACCCTCAGCCCCCCTCCCATTGTGGGCCCCCAGGCGCAAGCCATCCTTCCTGGACGACACACAAGAGAGCCCCAAGAGGGATCCAGCAGGGTCCCATCAAGGCCACATAGGCTCCCACGGCAACCCAAGACGTCACAAAGGGCGCCCAAACAGGACAAGAGAGTCGGAGGAAGTTGTTTGGATGCACTTTCTTTCGCACGCCTTTAAATTTCTCGTGGCAAAGAGAGCCCCCAAACGCTAGAGCCCCCTACGTAGCCGCGTCGGCTCGAACGACTTTGGGCCAAGTCGTTCTGTCCGCAGTCCGAACAGACTGTAAAGCGGAACTTGTTGCAGCTACTTCGGTATGCCGGTCCTGTCGGCTGGACATCCGTTTCGCCCTGCAGGCCCAGCCTTGCGGCTGCCTAGCTTCTGCAAGCAAATGGCTTTGATCGAGCTCTTCGCGTCAGGCTTTTTCGCAACCTGGTGTGGACTGACATTAGTGCAGATCCTCACGTGCGACGCGGGGCTGTGGACGTTCTTGTCAGTGCTGGCCGTGGCCAAAACCATTAGGCTCGGCATTGCCACGGCAGCTGTTCGCATGAGCCAGCATCTCGAGCAGCCTGTCAGGCAGTGGCAAGCTGTCATCGTGCTCGCTGTCTCCGGTGCCGTTCTGCCCGCACAGATGTCGGCCATGGCCACGATTTGCTGGCGGCTCTTTCAGGGGTGCCCAGCCGCGGCTGCAGCATCGGATACGTCAGCCATGGGTGTTGCAGATGTGTGTTTTCTCATGGTGACCGCCCTCACTGACTTGGTGCTGAGCTTCCTGTGGTCGCAGAGCGTGAACGTCCCTCCCAGACCGCCGAAGCCACAGGTGACCTCCTTCGTGGTTCGCGACGTCGAGTTGGAGTGCAGGGACTCGGTGTGCGTCATATGCCTGGACGAGCTCACACCTGGGTGCCTTGCGGGGAGGCTGCCTTGTGATCATGTGTTTCACGACCAGTGTTGCCGCACCTGGCTGGAAGTCGGGCATCGTCAGGCCCGATGCCCGATGCTCTGCCCATTCGTTCCGAGTTCACCCAATGGGCACGGCCCTTCCGTCGTGGGATCCCCTACGACAGTCAGAACAATTGACCTTGAGAGCAATGAGCGCCCTCTTGAGCTGGTGCATCCTGCCACTGACGAAGCGCTGCCATCCAGGTGTGCTGAAGTCCAGAGCACATCCCATGCCGCGATCCCCGTTGCTGAAGCCGTCTGAGGTTTGTCTGTACGTGATTGGTCAGGTCAGTTCAGAAGCCCTGCGCCAGACGCCGTGCAAGCAGGATGCAACAAGATGATTGCGCCTGCAAGGAGCCCATCGGCGCTCCGCTCGGCTAGACAGGTATACTGTCAGAGTGCCCAGGCCAGGAGGAGGAGGAGAAGGAGGAGGAGGAGGCCGAGAGGAGGAGGAGGAGGAGGAGGAGGAGGAGGAGGAGGAGGAGGAGGAGGAGGAGTACGAGGAGGAGGAGGAGGAGGTGGAAGAGAAAAAATAACAAGACGAAGAAGAAGAAGAAGAAGAAGAGGGGGAGGGGAGACGGGGGCCCGGGGACTAGATCGGTAAACGCTGGCTCCCGCGCCGCTGCCGCTCCGGCGATTGGCCGGAAGAATTGTGCCAGGCGGTCGCCGGCGCCAGCGAGTTTAATGGATTGTTAGGGAAACGTAAGATTCGAGTACGCGGGAACTCGGGTTTGCCGATGCGTTTTGACGAGCGCGTCTTGGATGCTGACGGTCCAGTTTTCGTGGGATGCGTGCAGCGGGAGCTCGCTTCTCGTCATGTTCATGGTGGCTCTGTCAGGCCAGCCCGAGTCCCCCGAACCCGAGTCTTTCGGAATTGGATAGACCTCCTACCTTGACACGTCGATTAGTGAATTGGCCGTTGTCGGTTCGCGAGAGGGCGTCACAGCCGTTGTTTTTGCAGGCCCAGGTCCGTCGGTTTCGGCCCTGGGCCGTTCTCACTAAAGGGTGGTTTACTAAAGGGAGGTTTATCCACCGCCGAGTCTCACGTCTCCTTGACAGCTGTTCCTCACCGTGTTGCCTCACATCTGTCGAGGTCGATGCCGCTCGGTGCGTCTCCGTGTGACATGCGCCCGTGGTCCGGCAGACCCTCGCAGCCTGACGCAGGCATAGAATGCCCAGCGCCAGGTCGGGATGCGTTCGCTCGAAGTGTGTCGGCTGGGCGCTCGCAGTCTGGCCCTGCGCAGACAATTGTGTTTTCGCGTGGTGTTCTCAGCAATCATCAACATCATTCACCCTCGTCCTCCACGGGCTGTTTCTCCCATTCCACTCCTCCTACTCCTCGTCCTCCTCCTCCTCCTCCTCCTCCTCCTCCTCCTCCTCCTCCTCCTCCTCCTCCTCCTCGTTGTGATCCACATCAGCCCCCTCCCTCCTCTTTCCTCCTACCCACTCCCCCCACGCGCCTTGGCTTCCTCTCCCATCGCAGCAACCACCATATACCTGCTGTATCTTCTCAGGCAGTTTCGAACGACTGAGCTGCATTTGAGCCGGAGAGCAGAGTGAACATCCTCTGGGATCTGGCCCATATATCGATTCTGCGGTCTATCGAAGAAGCCTACGGCGAATCACCGCCGCCCCCTGCATTTGGGGAACGCCGACGCGACCAAACGTTGGGCCGAAGTCTGGGGAACCACTTGGGGGAACGCGTGAGGAGGAGGAGGAGAGGAGGAGGAGGAGGAGGAGGGGAGGAGAGAAGAGGAGAGGAGGAGGAGGAGGAGAGGAGGAGGAGGAGGCGGGAGGAGGAGGAGAGGAGGAGGAGGAGGGCAGGAAGAAAGAAAGATAATGGGATGGGAGGGGGGGGGGGGCTTCTGGGCCCTCGAGGGGGGACTCTGGCAGCCTCCAGGGGACCCCTGGACCTGTGGAGGCCGCCGTGCGGCCCCTTCTGGGCAGCTTCGGGTCCGCCGCTCGGACAGCTTTGGGCCGCCTTGGAGGTCTCCGGGGCCGTCATCCGGTGGCCCCGCGACGGCCGCACAAGAATGGGGGAACGAAGAATGGCATGAACACAAAAACTCGACGGCCCGCGCGGAGTTCTCGAATGGGCGCTGGACCCCCTCCTTGGCGCGCGGAGGGCGCCAGGGGCGGCGCCGGAGCCGCCGCCAGGGGAGTCCAGCGCCGATCCGAGAAATCCGCGCGGACCTCCGAGTTTTTGTATGTTTATGTCATTCTTCGTTCCCTTAACGAAGCACCCGAGGCGTGCCCAGCCCATCCTCCACGCGCGGCGGACGTGCGCACGAACGCTCCAAACACAAGAGCACATCGCCAGGTGTGCACGAGCTGCGCTGCCCTCGCCTCCGCCGTGCCTCTCGGGAGCCCAGGGAGCAGGCGACGGTGGAGCAGCTCGCAGCCGCCCGGGGAGCAGCGAGGTCTCGGCTGGGTCCGCGTGTCCCTCTACTCCGCTGGACCTCCCAGGAGCCCAGGAAACAGGCGACGGTTTCGCAGGTCGCAGCCGCCCAGGGGGTAGCGAGGTCCTGGCTGGATCTGCGTGTCCCCCACTCCGCTGGACCTCCCAGGAGCCCACGGCAGTGTCGATCCTTGCGCAGATCGCAGCCACCCAGGGAGCAGCGAGGATCTGCGTGTCCCCCCATTCTGCTGGACCTCCCAGGAGCCCAGGAAGCAGGCGACAGTTGCGCAGTTTGCAGCCGCCCAGGTGGCAGCGCGGTCCCGGCTGGATGCGCGTGGCCCCCCATTGCGCTGGAGTTCCAGGAGCCCCCGAAAGTGGCGACAGGTGCGCGCTTCGCAGCCTCCCGGGGAGCCGCGAGGTCCCGGCTAAATGCGCGTTGCCCCCCACTCCGCTGAACTTCCCAGGAGCGCACGACAGTGATGATAGTTTCGCAGTTCGCAGTTTCCCAATTGGGAAGGTACGAGCAAGGGAGGCAAGGAGGCAGGAGGCAGGAAGATTGTGGAAGAGAGTGGACGGGAGGTTGCGCGAGCAATTGTTCCAATTACCTTGCGACGTACCCAACCCATCGGCACCACGGGATAACATAAGATGTGCCGACAATAGTGCGACAGCAGAATTGCAAGAGACGGTGCACGGCGGATATCTATATTGTGCGAAGTGTGCGTGGCCGACTCGCAGAACAGACGTTCCGTCTGGATCTGCGTGTGGCCCTATTGTGCTGCCCCGCCCAGCAGCCCTCGAAAGTCGCGACAGTTTCACACGTCGCAGCCCCAAAGGAATGGCGAGGTCCCGTTTGGGTCTGCTCGGCACCCCATTGCGTTGGCCCCCCAGCAGCATTCGAAAGTGGCGACAGCTTAACATTTCGCAGCCCCCCAGAGATGGCGAGGTCCCCTTTGGATCTGCGTGTGGCCCCATTGTGCGGGCTCCCCCAGCAGCACTCGAAAGTGGCGACAGCTTCACACTTCGCAGCCCCCCAGGGATGGCGAGGTCCCGTTTGGATCTGCGTGTGGCCTTGCGGGCTCCCCCAGCAGCCCTCGAAAGTGGCGACAGCCTTACACTTCGCAGCCCCCCAGGGATGGCGAGGTCCCGTTTGCACCTGCATGTGGCCCCATTGTGCGGGCTCCCCCGGCAGCCTTCGAAAGTGGCAATAGTTTCACACTTCGCAGCCCCCCAGGGATGGCGAGGTCGCGTTTGGATCTGCGTGTTGCCCAAGTGTGTTGGCCCCCCCAGCAGCCTTCGAAAGTGGCGACAGTAGTTTCACACTGAGAAGCCCCTCCAGGGATGGCGAGGTCCCGTTTGGACCTGCGTGTGCCCCATTGTGGTGGCTCCCCCAGCAGCCCTCGAAAGTGGCGACAGCCTTACATTTCGCAGCCCCCCAGGGATGGCGAGGTCCCATTTGGGTCTGCATGTGGCCCCATTGTGCGGGCTACCCAGGCAGCCTTCGAAAGTGGCAATAGTTTCACACTTCGCAGCCCCCCAGGGATGGCGAGGTCGCGTTTGGATCTGCGTGTTGCCCAAGTGTGTTGGCCCCCCCAGCAGCCTTCGAAAGTGGCGACAGTAGTTTCACACTGAGAAGCCCCTCCAGGGATGGCGAGGTCCCGTTTGGACCTGCGTGTGCCCCATTGTGGTGGCTCCCCCAGCAGCCCTCGAAAGTGGCGACAGCCTTACATTTCGCAGCCCCCCAGGGATGGCGAGGTCCCATTTGGGTCTGCATGTGGCCCCATTGTGCGGGCTACCCCGGCAGCCTTCGAAAGTGGCAATAGTTTCACACTTCGCAGCCCCCCAGGGATGGCGAGGTCGCGTTTGGATCTGCGTGTTGCCCAAGTGTGTTGGCCCCCCCAGCAGCCTTCGAAAGTGGCGACAGTAGTTTCACACTGAGAAGCCCCTCCAGGGATGGCGAGGTCCCGTTTGGACCTGCGTGTGCCCCATTGTGGTGGCTCCCCCAGCAGCCCTCGAAAGTGGCGACAGCCTTACACTTCGCAGCCCCCCAGGGATGGCGAGGTCCCATTTGGGTATGCGTGTGGCCCCATTGTGCGGGCTACCCCGGCAGCCTTCGAAAGTGGCGATAGTTTCACACCTCCCAGACCTCCGGGGATGGCGAGCCCGTTTGGATCTGCGTGTGGCCCCACTGTGCGGGCTCCACCAGCAGCCCTCGAAAGAGGAGACAGTCTCACACTTCGCAGTCCGCCCAGAGATGGCGAGGTCCCGTTTGGATCTGCGTGTGGCCACATTGTGTTGGTTCCCCCAGCAGCCTTCGAAAGTGGCGACAGCTTCACACTTCGCAGGACCCCAGGGGTGGCGAGATTCCGTTATGATCTGGGCGTGACCCCATTGTGCGGGTTCACCCAACAGCCCTCAAAAGTGGCGACAGTTTCACACGTCACAGCCCCCCAGGGATGGCGATGTTCCATGTGGATTTGTGTGTGGCACCACTGTGCTGGCTCTCCCAGCAGCCTTCGAAAGTGGCGACAGTCGCACACTTCAGGGATGGCGAGGTCCCGTTTGGATCTGCGTGTGGCCCCATTGCGCGGGCTCCACCAGCAGCCCTCGAAATTGGCGACAGCTTCACACTTCGCAGCCCCCCAGGGATGGCGAGGTCCCTTCTGGATCTGCGTGTGGCACCACTGTGCGCGCTCCCCCAGCAGCCCTCGAAAGTGGCGACAGTCGCACACTTCGTGGCCCCCAGGAGGGATGCGAGAGAAGAGTGCCGAGGGGAGCGGAGGGGGGGGGGGCGAGGAGGTGGAGACCCGTCTGCTATTCAAAACGAGAACCCAGCCAAGGGAGGGTTGGGAAAACTAGAACCCAACACTGGAGGCCGAGGGAACAAATCAGCACGGTGAGACGCAGTGACAAAGCGCTTCATAGTACATCTCTATTGAAGAGCGCCTACGCAGTAGCGCCAAACGCAGCAGCTGTCAGGCAGCAAGTCGCAGCCGAACCCCACGCAGTAGTCGTAGGGGGAGGC